TCACTCTCTCTCTCATACACATACACATACACTCACTCTCTCTCTCTCTCACACATACACATACACTCTCTCTCTCTCACACACACACACACACACACACACACACACACGAAGTCGAAATGACGGCACACACTCACACACGCACACACACACACACACACACTCTCTTTCTCTCTCGCACACACTCACACATACACACACCTCCCTCATGCCTCCTCCATCTCTCCATCGCTCCTCCCCTCCTCCATCTTCCTTCTTCCGTATCTCTGCCTCTCCTCCTCCACCTCTCATCATCCTCGTTACAGCTTCGTCAACACAAAGATACACGGGAACCTTGAACTTCGAACTGGCATGGTATCTCCTCCATCTCTCCATCTCTCGTTCTCATCCCCTCATTCACATCTCTATCTCTCGTCCCCACCACCATGGGGAAATGTCACGGCTTCGTCAACACACAGACACATGGGAACCTTGAACCTTGAAGTTTGACTGGCATGGTATCTCCTCCATATCTCCACCTCTCCTCCTCCACCTCTCATCATCCTTGTCCATCTTTCCTCCCCTCCTCCATCTTCCTCATGTGCTCGTCCATCTTTCCTCCCCTCCATCTCTCTTCCTCCTCTCCTCCCCCATCTCCCTTCCTCCATTTCTCCTCACCCATCTCTCTTCCTCCATCTCTCCTCCCCCATCTCACTTCCTCCATCTCTCTTCCTCCATCTCTCTTCCTCCATCTCTCTTCCTCCATCTCTCCTCCTCCATCTCTCCTCCCCTATCTCTCTCTCTCCTCCTCCATCTCTCTACCTCCATCTCTCTTCCTCCATCTCTTGTCCTCCATGTCTCCGCCTTCTCGCTTCCACTTTCTTATCCCCTTCCTCCATCCCTCTCTCCTCCCTCCATTGTGTAGTTGTCAACTTGTCATTGTTGTCAATCATCACGTCCTTTGTGCATGTATGCACTCCACGTACCCCGTGTTTTTTTTTTTTTTTTTTGGGGGGGGGGAGATTTTCTCACGCTTTGTTGCCGTTAGTTGTTCCGACTTGTTCGTAATTGCTGCGACGCGCATGGGAGTTCGTTTTTTTTTTGTTTTGGGAGTGGGTAGATAGAGGGTGTATGTGAGGGCAGAGAGAGGGGTTTCTTATGGACAGTGGAGATTGAGGGTGTATGAGAGGGATGAAATCCTTGTGCCTGCCACTTCGTCATGCTTGTTGTTGATGTTGTGCAGGGGATGTCAAGCCAGTGGCCATCAAGCACCTCCAGGACCAGATCAAGAAACATTTCACGATCGAGGGGACGCGGGGAAAGAATGCGAAGAAGGGATCAAAGTACTGGAGGTGCAACTACCGCGAGATGCGGTTGTCCGGGACTGCTACGAGGCTCCGGGATCACTTCTTTGAGAGGTGCACCCTCGAGAATGTCACTGCCCCGTTGTCAGTGGAGAGGGCGAGGAGGGAGGCGGGAATTTCGGAGGGAAAGTGCCTTGGTCGCATGCTTCTGCGGAGCGAGGCTGGAGGTGCTGGCCCCAGCAATATGCCGACCTCCACAAGTCAGATTCCGGAGTTTCCGAGCTCACTGGTCGCTGGTGCGGGCGGCAATGGCGAAACGACCACACCTCAATCTACTGCCGGCACCGTTCTTGGATCGAGGCCAAGTTCGGGGAGGCCGTTGAGGCAGACTGTTATCGAGGAGGCTGACAATGTCGTCACGATGAATGAGCGGACAAGCCGATACCTCGACTGATTTTTTATCTTCACCAACCAGCAGTTTAGTTTGGTGGAGGACGTCTACTTTCCTCGAGTTCCTTCAGACCGTGAGGATGGCCCATCCGACATGGATGCCTTGCAGAAGGGACGAGCAGAGGACAAAGCGCATGGACGCAGAGTATGCACCGGTAGGGCCGGAGGTCCATGCGATGATAGTCAAATGGAAAAAGATGGGGTGTACGCTGCAGATGGACGGGTGCGCCGCAACAAACCACATTTGAATGTGATGGTGTCCTCGCCCGTCGGTACCGTATTCTGGAAGTCCGTCTGCGTGGAGGGCAAGGAGAACGATTCTGCAGCTTATTTTCGAGTGCTGGACGAGGCGATCAAGGACATCGGAGTGGGTGCAGTCGTTGGTGTTGTCATGGACAACGCAAGGGTGTGCGTGAAGGCAGGGAAGATGGTGGAGTCCGCCTATCCGACCATCTTTAGCGTCTGTTGTACGACACATGCGCTGGACCTCGTGCTGGAGGACATGTACAAGGACCTGCCTTGGATGGCGCAGGTGGTCGATGCTGGCAACATGGTCGGCCGTTTCTTCTCGAATGCGGACAAGGCAAGGGCTCTGTTTCACCATTACTCCCCTAAGACAAAGCTGAAGCGCCCGGCAACGACCAGATTTGCAACTAACTTTGAGATGCTGCAGCCGCTGAAGAACTTGAAGACATCTCTTGATCGGTGCATGTGCAACAAGAGATGGGTGGGCACTCCCCTAAGACAAAGCTGAAGCGGCCGGCAACGACCAGATTTGCAACTAACTTTGAGATGCTGCAGTCGCTGACGAGCTTGAAGACATCTCTTGATCGGTGCATGTGCGACAAGAGATGGGTGGGCAAGATGGTGCGGAATGACTAGTTAGTGGCATTCCATGATGTAACTGGCATTGTCCTTTACAAGGGCGAGTTCTGGAGGAATGTACAAAAGGCGCTTGATGTGATGCAGCCGATGGTGGAGCTGCTCCGTATGGTGGATGGGCAAGGAGTGACCATCTCGAAGTTACTTCAAGATGGATCGAGTTGTGCAGGATTTGCGCGCCCTGGAATGCTTGTCGGTGGAGCGCATCCTCATGGGCCGCTGGGCATTTCTGACAAGCGAGCTACATTGTGCTGCAGCCTTTCTGGATCGTGAGCATCGGATGTACAACGGACATCGCGATCCGGAGGTTCGTGCGGGTTCAACATCTGGTTGTACTCCTGGATGCCACGGCCACAGCTCCACGAAGTGAGCTCCCATGTTGATCAATGGGTCAACGCTTTGGGAGGGTTCTCGATGGAGTAAGCGCGCGAATATGCCAGCCAGCAACCACCAGCTTTGTGGTGGCAGGCGTTTGGCTCGAAGCGCGACTTCCTCGCTCCACAAGCAATCAAATTGCTTGACCAGGCAAGCTCCTCTGGTGCTTGCGAGCGGAATTGGAGCTTGCATGAGCCAGTGTATGGAAGGAGGCAGACAAAGTTGTTGCCAGAGAGGATGGCGAAACTCGTGTACATCAGCTTGAGTGTTCGTCTCCTGAGGAGGAATCACCGTGGCGAGGGGGATGATATCCACACCCCATGGGCGGACGACGTCCCAGTGGACAAGGAGATGGAGGAGTGGTATGTGCAGTGGTTGGAGCGGGTCCATGAGGATGTCGATCGTGAGGAGGAGGTTGTTGAGGTGGACTTCGATGACGAGGGAGACGAGATCCCAATGCGGCGGACTTCCCTACTCAATGAGGAAGTTGACGACAGGCTGGCCGAGGAGGAGGATACTCTACTTGTTGGTACAAGGCAGTGCGACTGGCACGAGTGCACGAAGCCTGGGAAGCACCACAAGCGAAAGTTGCGCAGGAGATCCGGTTGCCAGCTGCCCGTGCCTTGTGAGCTGTGCACGAAGGAGGGTTACGTTCTCGCAATGGAAGTGCAATGGGCAGGCACGTGGTTGCAGGGCTGGGATGAGGCACCAACAAAGAGGAGAGGGAAAGGCAAGGGCAAACAGCCGGTGGAGGATGATGGTGTGCCCACGCAGCGTGAACAGCCACAACCGAAGAGGGGCCGCCCAACTTTGGTAGATCAGGTCGGCACGCAGGCGAAGAAGGCTGAAGACAAGGCTGTTGCTTCAGCAGCTGAAGCAAAAGCTGCTGCTGACAAAGCCACTGCGGCCAAAGCCAGAGCGGCAGCGAAAGCCGCCACAAAGAGCACAGGTGGAGGAAGGCCAGGAAGTCTGTCATCGTAAGTGACGATGACGGGGTGAATGTCCCGGAAGAAAGTTGGGAAGAGGAAGAGCCTGAAGGCTCGTCCACGTCCAGGGACTCAAGTTCTTCATTGGCTCCCTCATCATCTCAGCCCAGTGGGAGGGAAGGCACAGACAGAGAAGGAAGTGAGGGAGGGGCCCAGTTTGAGGACGGCGAGGAGGAAGATCGAGTAGAGGCTGAGTGGAGGGAAGCCGTTCAGTCTATGACTTTAGGTATCCGATGCTCCGAGTGCAGCATTCTGACAATGGTTGTCTTTCAGACATTAAGCTTTCAAACTCTTATTTTTGTTCTCGCAATGTACGAATGTCTGCGTGCCAATTGGATTGTTGATTGGAGTTGATTGATTGGTTTTCGTTTGTGTTCGTCATTCTTTGGTTTGGATGCTGCATTGCGAATTCATTGCTGTGTTCTTTTGATGCCATGTTGCCGTGTCGTTGGACGGATGCCCTGACTGCCATCGCTGGTACGTGCATACTCCGACTGCAGGTGAGTGTTTGCAACTTTGCACCCCTCCAACCCCTCTGATTTGTCTGTAATTCAAAAGAAAATATATATGTTTGTGACGATATATGTATATATTTTGGGGCACGTATTATACATACATTATGTTTATCAGATATTTTGCGAGTGAATAGTTGCTGGAGTGGAGACACTCAAAATTTTGTGACCCCTCCATGGGGCCACTCACCTCCGTTATACCCAACCTGAATATACACTTACTAAACCTATCGTAAATATGAGTCACGCTGTACAGAAAATTTAGCACCCGCCAAACCCGATTCTTTTGCTGGACAGACAATTAAAATGGACTTCAGAAGGAAGCGCCAAACTCCGGAATCCGTAGATAATTCTATTCAACGCAATCTGCACAGAGAGAAGGCAAAACATGGAGTGTTGGCTTGTGACATCCTCTGGTGTTATGTTGAACAGACAACATATCAACCTCAAGCTAGGCAGTGTGCATTGGATTCCGAGCAACAGCTATGTCCTTAGGTGCATGCGCATTCCTCCTCTTCCTTGTCATGAGCTCTGAAGCCTGGATCTCTGACTGTTTTTTGTTAAGGTTGGCGCCACTTCCAGATCAGAATGGTCGATTCGCTAAGGGTCTGTTCTGATCGGTTTGATATCTGATCCGTGGTCCATCTGGCCATGCGGAGACAAAAAAGAAAAGAATGGTCGATTGGCTAAGGTATACAAGGGAGCAGAGCCTTCCAGACAATCGGGATGTCTGGGTCTGGATGTCTGAGTCCAGATGTCTGGGTCCGGATGCTCTCCGGAAAAATTAGAAAGGTATTAGCCTCGGAAAGACCACATGGATGTCTGGGTGCCGATGCTGGCTGGATAAACTTAAAATGTATTGGCTTCGGAAAATTCCAACTTTTTTTTTTCTTTTTTAATTCCAACCTTTTAAGAATTGAGAAAGAGCTGGAAAAAGAAAACAAAAAGACAAAGAGCTGGAAAAAAGACACACAGCATACTGAGCATAGCCTTATATGGCATATTACATGCAACTTTTTTTTGTTTCTTTTTTTTCTTAAGCTATATTCTTCTCTCCATTTCACCTCAACTACCTACCTTCCACTACTCCTAATTGTAGGCATACAGGGAACCCTGTAGCAGCCAGAACTGTGTTCACAAGGGAACATGCGGGGGCTGCTCCCGACCTGCAGTTGGACGATACCAGCTAGGGGACAGTCGGTAGCATCAGGGACCCCATGCCAACAGGACCAATCCCTGTGCAACTTTGAGCTGAGGGTGAACTTGAAAGCTGTAACGAAATTTGGGTAAAAATTTTGTTCAAAAAAAAAAACAAAAATGAAAACGAAAATACTTATCCGTTGTTTGGATCCGATTCCAGCAGGATTCGAACATGTGCTCTGTTTACTAACGGTTTCTTGTGTGTGCTATTCAGCCATGCCAGCTGGGTGTTGTCTATTCTTCCGTTCACCTTCCGCTACTTTCTGCCTTTTATCTGTTTTTTGCAGACTTCCGTTCACCCTTCCATGTTTGCCATGTGTTGGGCTATTGTTTTGCTAGAAGGGCGCGGGCCTACTGTCTTCATCCAAGCAGAAGGCATGGCCCTTATTGCTGTATATGGCCTGAGAATCGCCATAGATACAGATGTCATGTCCTGTCAATATGTCCAGCGTTAGAAGGTAGTATCCATGCATATAGACAACTGCATAGCCTGTTGAGGAAAACCACAGCCCTTGCCCTCCCCCCCCTTCCACATCCCTGTGGTGTCTGACAGTCAAATGTTTATATATAGTTCTGTGACAATTCTTGAGCTTTTCCCTGTGTTTAACACCTTCCCCTTCACTCTGCCTCTCTCACAGCGTGCAAGTGGGCTGTTATGGCATACGGGGATGGGGGCAGCTCGCGCTCAACTTCATCAACGTGGCGAGCCTTGCACGTAAGAGGCACAGTGGAGGTGGAGCTCAAATAAGAATGAGAAAGACGCAAAATAAACTCCAGAATCCTCAGATGTATGATACGATGTGGATGGAGATGGACAATAAAATTATAAATTTATAGAATTGATTAAATGATTTAAATACATTTTTTTTTTAATCCTTTTTTTTTAACTTTCAAAAACTAAGCCAAGCTATATTCTTCACTCGTGTATCTCACTCTACCTAACCTCTTGTCCTTTTTAGTCCAGTTTCGAGTATCGATTGTTGCAGTATATCTATGCATACAGGCTGGGGTGCCTCTAAGAGTTATGGGTTGGCACCGGCTGCTCCCGTGTCTCAGCACCACAGCTTCTTCCTAACCCGGGGCAATGGATGGGAGGGGGCACAAAACCTACCAAGCCCTACCAGGGGGGGCAAGCGGACTAACTCACCTGGTGAACCCGTTGCGAGCTGCAGGAGGCTGTGGTGGCTCGAATGAAGACCGTGGGGAATCGAACCCACGACCTCCTGAATGCCGCTTTCGTGCGCTACCAACTGAGGCAGCCCGCCGGCCCTGAATAAAGACATTCTGAATTTATGATGCTGCCAACTTTGGAGGGCTGTCAATGGAAATCCTGATTTTTCTTGCTTGCTTGCCTTCGTCACAGCGAGTCCCTCAACCAGAAAAGCCGGTCGCAAATGTTGAGATCCCAACTGCGGCAGTGGCCCGCATGGCAAAGCTGGAGAGGAGGAAAGCACAACTACAACTCATGAGTGCAAGGTGAGATTTTGGTGTTGCCAATCTTGAATTTGGCATCTCAGGAACTCTGATATTCCCTCTCCCTCCGTCATGTCTTTTCATTAGCATGGTTACTACCCAGACTA